GCGCTGTGGCAGCTATACCTGGTCACGCGCTTGGGCCTAGAGAGTTACCAGGGGGGGAAGGGGTCGAGGGGCTAGTAACGTCACGTTTCGCGCCGGCGCTGTCAGGGAATGTCTAGGAACAGCCAAAGCCAACTCGGAGGCACGAGTTGTGACTTTACCTCGGGGGGGGAGGGGGTGTGGCTGGGGCTGGTAACGGCCGCTATCGCGAAAAATAGAAGACGCTCTCCAGAAGGGAGTGCGCTTGGGCCTAGAGATAATGGAGCCTCGGTTTGCTGATCGGATGCGCTCACGGCAGGTGTGCTTTCCCTGCTGTGGCATGCGCACCCAGCGCGGTTGTCGGTTCGGTTCGTGTGTGTGGGGGTCTCATACGGTTGAGCCATCTCGGCGTCCCGCAACGAGGATCATCGGAGAAGAACAACAGTATAAATTTGAACTTTCTGCGATCCGCACTCGTTTTTATGATGTACACTTGGCCCCCCTGATGGCGCCTCTGGCGCCGCCCTTGGCGCGCGGGACGCGCTGGGGAGTGGGGTCCAGCCCAGATCCAAGAAATCCGCGCGGACCGTCGAAAGTTTATGTTTGTGGTGTGTTTTCTTTGTCTGCGACCGGAAGAGGTGCGCTCTCGACCCGCGAAAAAGAAGTGTTTTCTTCGTCTAGATGAGTGCAGGACAAGGATGGACAGCGACCGCGGCAACGGAGGGAGGTATAGCGCGCTGAAGACCGTGACTGCGTACACGAGGTTACATCACCAGCCCACTGGCACAACCGTTTCTTGATATACGTATATCCGAATACCAGCGAGCGAGTCTTAACGACAAGAAACTGACCAACCAGTGAAGTAGGCAACACATGCCAGCGACCAAGGAACATACAGCACTGAACTTACCAATGCAAGAAATAGACAACGACGCCATATAGCGAATCACATGCAACACAGTACAGGAGAACAGCAGCAGCACAAGCGATGGACTGGCACACGCCCCACGACGATTACAAGATGGCGGCCGAGTGCACGAAGAGAAGGCGGCCATCTGCTAGGTCACGAGGAAAACTCTTTGGTACCCAAGCACCGCTAGCCACCTCACGACCACTGTCGCCATCAGCAGGCTCGTGATGGACACGCTGAAGACCTCGAGGCACACCACCAGCCGCGCCCTCATGCGCACCCCATAACTCCGACTTTGTCAAAACGTGGCCTGCATGACCTCCCGCTGCGACGCCTCCGCGACAGCCGCCGCGTGCAGTGGGCCGCAGCGTTGTGTCGTATGCGCGCTACGATTGGGACTTCATTCTCCTCCCACAGGACCTGCAGCGCCAGAGCGATGACCATCAGCCTCGCGTGCAGAGATCAGCCGTGGCTTCCACCGGGATCACCTGGGCCTGCACCTCCAGCTCGGCGATGATCTGCCTCGAAGTGTCCAGCTGGGCTTGGGGGCGTCGGATGGCAACAGCCGCGCTCTCCCCAGCCCGCCGCTCAGCGGCAGACCCAGCAGCCCTGCGTCTCCGAGCGTCGCCCCGCGAGCGTCGCCCGCGTGGCAGCCCGTCCCGTCCGCCGCTGCCCAGATACAGCAGCAGCAGCAGCAGCAGCAGCAGCAGCAGCAGCAGCAGCACGCCGCTCGAAGCTCCGAGCGCGGATGAGCATGTCGAGCCAGTTTCGGCAACAAGGGGTCGCCCGGTGCAGGCGGCCTGGGCGGGGATGGCTGCGTGCTTGAGCCGAAAGGGTTCCCGAAGCGTAGCAGCGAGAGGCAGGGGCGGAACATGAGGGGGAGGGGGAAGAAGAAGAAGAATAAGAATAAGAAGAAGAAGAAAAATAATAAGAAGAATAATAAGAATAAGAAGAAAAATAACAAGAAGAAGAAGAAGAATAATAATAATAATAAAACGAATAATAATAAAGAAGAATAAGGGTAAGAAGAAGACGAAAACGAAGAAGAAGGAGAAGAATGATAATAGTAAGAAGAATAATAATAAGGAAAAGGAGAAGAAGAAGGAGAAGAAGAAGCAGAAGAAGAGAGGGGACTAAGAGGGAGGGGGGGGAGCGAGAGGGGGGGAGGGCGAGGCAGGCGCGCTCGCGCCTCGCCTGACATCCTGCCCCTCCCGCCCGGCCCTTCCCATGGCGCGGAGTTTCTGTATTGGCCACGGGCGCGTGTCATGGCCGGCCTGCTTGGCATCGCTCGGACGTGTGCATTTTTCCTTCGGCGAGGACCATCGAGGAGCATCCTTGATCATTTGGCGAAAAAGCCACGCACGAAACCGAGAAAAAACACAGGAAGTGGACGTGCGAGCGATGGCCCGCGGGCGCGCGTCAATGGCCGACCCGGGGCTCCCACGGGAAGACCACTTCGTGGCAGGCACAGCCGGAGACAGGGAGGCTGCGTGCACAGGAGGAGGAGGAGCACCACCCACCAAACCACCCCAACCCAACCCGAAGGCTCAGATTTACCCTCGATTTCCAGTGGGGGGGGGTCGGGAAACATAGAAAAAACACATGTGGAGCCCTTACCCCCCCCAACCCGAAATTCGGGTCTTCGGGTTGGGTTGGGGTGGTCTGGTAGGTAGTCAGAGGAGGTGGCGGGTGAGCAGGAGGAGGAGCGGGAAGCGGGAGGAGAAGGACGAGGCCGAGCAGAAGCAGCAGGAAGCAAAGCGGAAGGATAATCAGGACAGAGAGGACCAGGCGAGGGCGGAGGAGGGAGACAAATGGGCGTGACAACGACGAAGAAGGACTCGGATTCAGAAAAGTGGCCCGCGCGGGGGCGAGACGAATAGCGGAAGCAGGAATCGGAGTGGAAGGCGCGGGAGGAGCGGGAAGACCAGGGGAAGGCGGGAGAGGGGAAACGAGGTGGGGAGCAAGTCTAGGATCCTGAAGAGTGGCCCGCGCTGTGGCGTGGCGGGAGCGCAGTTCTGAACGACGGGAGCCAAGCGCCGATCCGAGAGTGAGGCCCACGCTGCAGCGGGGGCGCCATGTTGAAGCACCAAAATCAATTGGGCTGCAAACAGAAACAACAGAAACAACATGCTTGATATTCTGTGTGTAAGGAAACAGCTCGCCGGGGGGGCGGGAGCTCTTCTGGACAACTTTAAGGGAGGATGGAGAGTAGTCTTGATTTTGCTGAATCGTTGAGTCATCATGAGGAGGCGGAGGGCGAGAAGAAAGAGACACATCAGCAGCAGGCGGGTATTGAGAAGAGGAGAAGAGAGGGAGAGGAACACGGCGAGTAGGAGGAGGAGGAGGAGGAGATGTAATCGCCTAGTACGATTAGGATGAGTAGCAGGATTAGGTGAAGCATCAGGACGAGAAGAAGGTCGGGAAGCAGAGGGGGGAGGAGGATACAGATACGGTGGCGCGGATGGCGGTGACGATTTTGATGATGCCGGTGAGGATGATGTTGCTGTTAGCGGTAGGGATGATCATACTGATTATGATAACGATATGGGCGATTCAGACAATGATACAGAGCAGCGAATTGAGGAGCATCGCTGAGGATTTGATGAGGGTGATGATGATGATGCTGCTGCTGATGATGATGATAATGATTATGATGGTGTTGGTGGTGGTGGTGATGATGGTGGTGGTGATGCTGATTGTGTTGATGATGCGGTTGATGATGCTGATGATGACGATTATGATGATTATGATGATGCTGCTGCTGATGATGATGATGGTGATGATGGTGATGCTGATGGTGTTGTTGATGATGGTGATGCTGATCATGATGATGATCATGATGGTGATGATTCGGATGATGCTGCTGATGATGATGGTGATGCTGATTGTGATGCTGATGATTATGATGCTGATACTGATGATGCTGCTGCTGATGACGATGCTGATGATGCTGCTGATGATGATGCTGAGCATGCTGATGATGGTGATGATGCTGATGCTGATGCTGATCATGATGATGCACATGCTGATGATGATGCTGATGTTTCTGATGATGCTGCTGCTGATGATGATGGTGATGAGGATGGTGATGATGCTGATGATTATGATGATATTGATGCTGCTGATGATGCCGATGCTGCTGATGCTTGTGATGCTGACGACGAGGCTGGCGCTGATGCTGATGCTGATGCTGATGCTGATGCTGATGCGGGTGATGATGCTGATGATGACGATGATGCTGATTATGATGATGCTGCTGCTGATGATGATGGTGATGCTGATGCTGAGGATGATGATGATTCTGATTCTGATTATGATGCTGATGATGCTGGTGATGCTGCTGATGATGCAGCTGATGATGCTGCTGATGATGAGGATGACGCTGATCATGATGATGCTGCTGCTGCTGATGATGATGATCTTGGTGTTGTTGGTGGTGGTGATGATGGTGGTGATGATGATTATTCGGACCATCATGGCGATGATGCTGATGCTGATGATGCTGCTGATGATGATGGTGATGATGATGCTGATGATGGTGATGATGATGATGATGGTGATGATGATGCTGATGATGATGATGGTGATGATGATGGTGATGATGATGCTGATGATGATGGTGATGATGATGATGATGATGATGATGATGATGATGATGATGATGATGCTCATGATGATGACGATGGTCGTGATGGTGATGATGCAGATGCTGATGATGTGGATGATGATGCTGCTGATGACGATGCTGCTGATGCTGCTGCTGCTGATGATGATGATGATGATGATGATGCTGGCCCATATAGTCATTGCATGGGGCGAGGATGATGAGGATGATGATGCTTAGTAGTTGTAGTAGGAACAGGAGAAAGAGCAGGGGCAGAAGGCTCCGCAGAAGCCTCACGA